GTGTGGCAGGTGTGTGTCGCCGGTGCTGAAGAGGAATCGTGAGACCATCGACCACACCTTGGAGGAGAAGACCGACCGATCCATCGAATCCGGAATTTCCGTGGGTTAGCTGTGAGCTGTTGCGGTCGTGGAAAAGGGGGTTGAGTGGGTCTCCGACCAACAAGGCTTCTTGGGCCATGGAAAGAAAAGACGAAATCCAATGGCGGTGATCTTTTTGGTCTTGTAATTCCCAAGCCTACTGCACAGCTCTGCCTTTTCTTAGACCTTTCTCTGGCGAGGATACCGGCAAGCGGCTGCGGAAGAGCGTGAGCAACGTCGCCAGTAGTGTTTCTGGGCTCAGAGGATGTGCCCAGTCGAAGACGGTTCGCATCATTTCGGCTCTCCGCTTGGATTTTGCACACCGGTCAGACCTCGACCTCGGCTGAGGCGGTGGATGCCGGCTTCGGAGTCGGCAAGCAGGGTGTGGCAGGGGAACTCAGACTGGGTTTCTCACTGGCAGATGTGGTGCACTTTGACGGTGATGATTCTCCCATGTGTAAGTGGGTGATTCCACAACCCTGGGTTGCCAAAGAGATCCAAAAAGGGCCTATAGGGTGTGTTTCATCCTGCTTCCTTGGTATCAACACTTTTTTCTTCAGAAGGGGGACATCCTGTTCCTTGGCATCGAATTTCGGACAAACCTTGCAGTCATGGCCGGGAGATGAACGTTTTTGGCTTCTGGGGGGGGGCACAGCCGACTCATTAGATTTGAAGCTTTCTCGTTTACAACATCGAACACGCCACGTCACATCCGACTCTTTTGACCCGCCAAATGGCCATCAATTGAGAACCTCTTTGAGCCCACGTCGAGTGAAGCTCGACGTAGCCGTCGACCGAGGCGCAACTCCGCGGTGGCATGACCATGGTCAGGCGAGACGCTGGCAGCGGTGGGCGGGGTGGTCGACGAAGCAAGCTGGAAGGGCATTTTGTTTCGAGAAAACGGCAGCAGCTGTCATATATATATATATAACTATAACTATATTATATATGTATATTATATATAGTATTAACAACTATTAATATATATATATATTTCTTTTTTTCCCCGGTTGGTCGCTTTTCCAAACCGCGCAAAGACAACGCAAAACACATTCGGGTTAGCTAGCACCGCTACAAATCTACCAAAGATGTTTTGGATATATCCAACAGTCACACCTTCCAATTTTGGATATATCCAACAGTCACACCTTCCAAGTCAAACATCAATATTCAATCATCTCTTCATCCTCTTTGTCCAACAAAACAACCAGCCTGGCCTCTCACCTCTCCCTCTTCCTTTTTGGCCCATCCACACCTCTCCGTGACCTCGTGGTGACCGAGCTCGGGCGAGGCACTTCGTGGGCTCCGAGATCGCCCGGCGGCGCTCCGGAGCCGCGTCGCCGGCGGCGGTGTCCGTGGTGGACACCGCGGCTCCGGGAGAGGCGCCGGGAGCGCCGGTGTCGGTGGACACCGCGGTGACGACGAGTGCAGAGGAATAGGTGAGGCAGGGGTGGCTGGGAGAAGTGGCTGCTGGATTGGGGGGGCGTGTGAAAGGTGAACTTGGACAATCTGATGGAAAGGAATGAGGAAGAAAGGTGATTGGGGGTTGTGCATGTTTGTGCCAGGTGAGGTGTGGAAGCCTTTGGGGGTGATTGAGCTTGTTTGAAGCGAACGTGCTTGAACGCAGAAGAAAGATGAGACCAGTACTGTATATAAATAGAAACGATACAACGTCCTGTTGGCAGCATGAAGTTTTCCGGATGCGTTTGGCCAAGCACGTTGCAGCGTTGGCCAGGGAATTCGACTAGACATCTGACCGGGTGCGTGTTGCGCTTTGGTTTTTTTGCCTGAATGGGAGCTCCTGATATGATGGGGATATGACAAGTCAAACAGCAAGGCTCGACCCTCCACAGGCCACAGATCAACAACTTCCCTACTGAACCGATAGACTCCGACAAATCGACATGTGTGTGGAACTCTTAAGTTTGAACAGTAAGTGTAAGTAAGATTAAGTAAGTGCTTGTCAATGCTTTTCCAAACGGAGCTTCAGGTTGGACTAGGTTTCCAGGCTGCAACAACTTCCAGAGGTCACCTTTTTCGCGCATATGTGCATTGTAGAGCATCTAAAAAAGACTCCAACCAATACTAAAAAAGTCCAGCACTTAACTATATTTCACTATCACCAACGTCAGCAAAGAAGAGCCTCAACTTCCACCCTGGTGCCCTGTTGCAAGGCTGCGGCATACTTGTTTCATGGCCCGTGGCAGAAGCTGTGGCGTAGATACATTGACATTAGAAGGCTTCTATCCTGGCCTTTTTCAAAGCTGTGGCATAAATATATGGCTTCAGGCCTGTGGCATAGGGACATGAACATTAAAAGGTGCAGCTTCACCCTACCCTGTTGCAAGCGTGTGGTGTATATGATATATGAAAGGCCGTGGCATAGGACATCAACATTAGAAGGCGTCAACTTCCGCCCTTCCCTGTTGCAAAAATGTGGCATATATGTAAACAGAAAATAACTAAATGAATATATATATATATCCTATTCGTTAGCCCGCGATCGACGAGATGTGTCTGATCTCGGAGCTGGGGCCCAGTATCCCGATGGAGCCCGGCTGCATAGGCCCGCTCCTTGAGGCATTCTTCGATGACATGTTTACCTTGGCATTTTTCGATGACATGCCGCACGATGAGATCGCTGACCTCCTATGTATATATATATATATATGTGTACGTATAGTTTCGTGGCCTGTGGCAATGGCTGTGGCATAGGAATATTAACATTAGAAGGCGTCAACTTCCGCCCTTCCCTGTTGCAAGGGTATGGCGCGTATGCATAATGTATATATATATATATACACATGACATGACATACATCTATACATATGTATAGTTTCCTAGCCTGTGGCAAAGGCCGTGGCATAGGTACATTAGCATCAGCAGGCGTCAACATCCACCCTACCCTGTTGCAAGGGCGTGCATATATGCTTATTATTAATTATACGCATACATATATATATATATATATATCTAGATGTACATGTATAGTTTCCTGGCCTGTGGCGAAGGGGGACATTAACATTAGAAGGTGTCAACTTCCACCCAACGCTGTTGCAAGGGTGTGGCGTATACGTAATGTATATATGTATATATGTCTAGTTTCCCGGTCTGTGGCAAAGGCCGCGGCATAGGTACATTAACATGGAGACGGCGCCTTTGCAAGGGTGTGGCGCATATGTATGAGTGAATATATATATATATATATGTGTGTGTATAGTCTAGTTTCCTGGCCTGTGGCAAAGGCCATGGCATAGGGACATTTCCACTAGAACTTACACATGTGTCGCTTTTTTTGCAGATCCTTGGCAATGTGACAGCAGACCGACATCGCGTAGCGCGTAAACCGGAGTCCCTCTCAGGAACACGCCGGCCCCGCTCCGCTCATGCTCTCATGCTTTCGTTCATCGTCCTAGACCGGGGTCGGTATATATATATATATATATGTATATACTGCGTCTTTGAACATAGCAAACAGACACGCCACAAGACTTTGAGATGCAAACATGTGTTTATTGACCACATTTGGCCACCAGGCTGTAACACCAAATTGTATGCAATCATGGGTCATTCTTTTCAGACATGTTCCCACCCGCTGTGCAGACATAAAAAAGCACTTGTGGTTCATTTTTCCTTTACCCCGTATGACTTTCAGGAGTTTGGCATGGTTGGTAGATGTTCGTAGGAACTTAGCAGGCGTTTTCCTCCAATTCTTAGACTCCGAGAATCTCCCGAAGTGGGCCGCAGAGCATCGGAACATCGCCGAAGGGTTCCGCCGAAGGGTTCGCCCATCTCTTCATTGGTGAGCTCCGTCTGATCATTGGTCAGCACCGTTGGACCCCCCAACGGATCTGAAACGATGGACGAGGTCCATCGCTCGCTGAAGAACTGGGGATGTTGGCCTGGAAACGTCACGGACGAAAACGTGGAAGTAGAATGGCATGATGATGTGAGACGTTTGGGAGAGGACATGGTTTTCTATCCAACATGCTTCCATCTTAGTGAGTTGAAGTGCATGAGTGGAGATGTCAGAATTGGGGGACATCATTTGCTAATAGGACAATCATTTGTTCCAAAAAAGTTTGTCCGTGTAGACTGTTTGGTTTATTTTCGAGGTGTCAATTAGAAATTCAGAAGGTTTTGACCTCACCACCACATTGATCCAAAGGGAAACCCCTCTTTTTCGTTCAGTGGTACGTAGCTCGTAGCTCGAAGGGCCAATCCCTGAAGCAGCGACATCTGCGACATCTGCGCCCACGTCCCGGCACGGCCCTCGATGGACATTTCACCATTGCAGGCCACACGTGCTTAGGGCCCAGCTGCTGATGCCTACTATAGGGTCTTATAGGTCCTGGCAGGAAACGCCATCAGTTTTTGGACACTTCCAAAATCCACAGGTTTGTAGGAACAACAAAAATGAGAATGCTCGGATCATGGCTCACGCCGTAAACCTGGTCGGTCTGGCGACCGTGTCCAGCGGGACAGGCGACCGATGTCTTAAATTCGATTGGCACTGCCTAGCTTGACATTCTGCTGTGCGGCGAAAGTGGAGAAAAGGCCCCGACCTTTCTCGAAAGAGGGCCGTGGACTTGATCAAGTTAATGAACAAGTCAGAAGTCGCGTGGAAGTCTCATAGCTCGTCTTATGGTTCGTCTCAAACTCTCTCTCTCTCTCTCTATAATATACATATACAATGTCTGTAATGTAATGCAATGTAATGTCTGTATGTATGTATGTTACGTTCCAGACGTGTCACCGTTGCAGGCTTGGGCAGGATCGTGCTTCGAAAAAACTTGGTCCTCCAAGAGAGTGAGAATTGAACCATGCCCGTCTTCGAGTTCGGTTCGTGTCCCGGTCGTCCCTCATGAAGACTTTCCTTTGCCGCTGGTGTTGATCGCATTGCCAAAGCTGCGGCAACGCAGGACTTTCCAGCACCCTCCGTGGACTTCTCCTTGATGGCGCTTTTGGGCGACGTGGATCTGGCCGTTGCACACTGCAGAGGAGTTGGACTGGCTCGTTGACCGCGTTTGATTGACCAAATGGGACCTCAGGTGGTTATCGAACTCACCATGCGGCGACCGGCGTGTTGAAAACACGAAGTCCTTGGCATGAAGTCCTTGGCATGGTGAACCTGTGATTCTCACGTCTGGCACCAAGATTTGAAGCAGCTGTCAATTGGTGTATTCCAGAAATGCCAGATGTGCTGACAGGACACTTGAACTTCCATCCTGGCCCAGTCCACCTGAACTTTTGCTTCAGGGACCGCAGCAAACGGCAGTTGAGAACTTGTGCTCCCAAAGAATCCTGAGTCTTTTGGCCAGAGATTGGGGGGAACCTTTCTGCGGTTTCTCGTTTGTTGGGGGGGTAAAGTGGATGGATGATGATGGATGCTCAGGCTTCAACACGTCAAAGCGCGGAGACCGGGCATCACTGGGCGTCCGCAACGAAGCGGCGACTTTTGCCTCATGCCTCTCCAGGAGAACTTGGCTCCTGATGCTGGACCCGCCATTGTCTGAGTGCAATTGTTTTGGATCTTCTCGCGCAAGCGTGCTTGTTGGTTGGGACCTATCTACCACACGAATCAGATAAAACCATCCAAAGTCTTTCAAAGACACGTGTTGATCTTAACAAATAGAGAACGCCCCTTGTTTCCATGAGGGGAGACCCACACGTGGCACGCGAGTACCACGTATGGCACGCGTTCGCACCCGAGGTGCGAGGCGTTCCTGGTCGGACTTCCGAGTGGGACAAGGCGCCCGTCGATTCCAGGGTCCAACGTCGAACGGACAGAGGGGTCATAGAGAGCCTTGGTCTTTTAGATCTGTGAAGAAGAGTCCTATGGAAATTCACACGAAGATGTCTTTATAGGTGTTGTAAAACACATATAATATAATATATATATGTATATTACGTATATAATATATATATATATTATTTTTAGTTTTCCGGTTTCTGTTCTTCCTCCTCCGTCTTTCTGTTGTGCATCCCACCGTGCTGCAAAGATGTCCTCCAGCTGCATCGCCGCAGGCCCTCTCACCCACCAGGCCCCCAACCTTCCCAGCGGCCAGGCCTACGTGGACTGCCCGGCCATGCAGCGCTGGGTGGTCTCATCGGAGCCCCGGAGCCCCTCGGCACCGCGCGTGTCGCGATCGCGCCGCGAAGACCTCGCGATGCCAGCAGACGGCGCAGCGAAACGGGGCGTTTTGGGGTCGGACTTGGACATTTGGACCATTGACCAGTCACTCCCCATTGGTCATTGAAGCACTCATAAGATGCTCGATGGTAGAAACCATGAGTTTCGTTTCCATCGGGTGAAGGCGCGCACGTGAAGGCGCAGCGTCCATCGGAACGTGACGGTCTCGCGGCTCGCGAGCGAGGTCAATACCTAAGCCCTGAAGCACGCTTGCCACCTGGATCGATGATCGAGGCAGTGCGACGCATCGTCTGAGACACCTGGGCGACCGGGTCGTGAAAAACCCACCATGTTCACCATGTTCACCCCGCCAGTCTACCAGTCCACCACGGTGTCCGAGTCCACCAGGAGTGTTACCGTCGAAGGGTGCCCTGAGACTTGGTCTCCTGGTGGTTTTGACACACAGGCCTTTGTCTCTCAGTGGAAGCCATCGCCCACAAGCCGTGCAGTTTCGGAAGTGGCCCCCAAACAGGTGAACTGGAGATCGCCGTGTTTCTCATTTTTAAGACGCTCAGCCAGTTGAAGCACTGGATTACTCTGCCATCATCCGTTTATGGCTGCGATTGCTCTGGTTTTCTTTGAATGGAGAGTCGATCGCTTGAAAATCATTGACTACCTGCAGGAGTTGGTGGCACTGGCCAATCGCCAAGCTCGCATCCTCGTTCTAGTTCCTTGGCCGAATGTGAGCTTTACATTGGTTTTCAGAGATGTTGGCCAAGTGCCTCGACACGATGCTGCCACAGATCAGATGCTGCCGTGCCGCCACGTGTCGTGGTTGTCCAATCAGACGTTCTTCTCGTCCAGACCAAGGTTGGCACCTTGAAAACGTCGGACGAGGTCTTGTTAGCAGAGGATATTGCTGCCAGACTTGGTGGAGCAGCCAGGGAGCCAAGTGGAGATTATAAGATGAAGTCGTCGCAGGAGTTGTGAGGAGCTTTCTGAAACAAGGGCTGGGTGTGACACATGGGAACGGGGAAAGCAGACTTGGCCAGCAATCACGATAAAGGAGTCATTTACTAATTTAATCTAATTTATGCAATTTATCTTCATTCATACATATATATAGTTTTTGTTCTATTTATGACACATGCCAGATCGTTGGAGAAAGTACGTCCCCCTCCCCACAAGTGTGCCACCCAACTGCCGTAGACGCCGGTCTGACCGGTCGATCACTCCGTTCTCGCGGTCGGACCTCGCGGTCGCGCCCAGCGGTGCCAACGACAGGTCTTTGCAGATATCACCTCTGGTTTGCGCCAGCGGCCACGAACCGTGCACTTCTCGGATCAGCTCATGCGACTTGGGCACCGTTTTCGGAGACACCCTCGTCTCCACCGGCGGGGTTGTTGGGTGGTCGGGTTTTCGTCCGCGTCGATCTGATCGGTCCGGTCCGTTGGGAAGCGGAAAGGGGAGATTGCGGTGGTCTACACTTGACTGGAAGCTGTAGGAAATCAGCTGGTACCGAATGAACCAGACAGCGCACGCAGCGCACGCAGCGCACGCACAGCGCACAAGCAGAACTATGGTCAGGGTGCTTTCAAGCGATGTTAGGGTCAGCGAAAAAGATGGTCAACCCACCATGCACAACCCAGTCGTTGCGTCGCCGCATGAGCTAGATGTTCACCGAAAAACGTATATCAGTTTATATCAGTTTGTTCAGGCTTGGGCTTGATCCCCCAAAAAAACACTCCTCTCACTGTGCACCGCCTCGTCACACGACCGGTGACCGGTGCTCGCCTCGTTGGATCGCTGACTCTGTTGCATCCGCCCACCATCAGCACACATACAAAAAGAAACTGGTGAGACAACGCAAAGACCCCCAACTCCCAACTCTGTCAGAGTTGATGACTTCATCGATTCGGGATTTTGCAATTCCTGAGACACACCCAAGGCCGTTCGTGGTTTGTTCATTTACTGAAGCTCAACGAACTGTTGGTTTCCTGCTACCCAAAGAACTCTGAGCTGCTATCTGGAGAGCTACTTCAACTTGATGCGGTCAGACCGCCAGTTTCGTCGGTCCGGAATTCGAGTCGTTGGAAGCTGAACGACGAACGACGGTGGTTTGAGGAGGGAGGATCTCTAAGTGAGGAAGTTGCGGACATCCTGAGAGTAGTTCGAAAGATATTGAGACTTCAGTTTGAACAGATCCTCGATTCTTCCGACCACAGAGCTTCCGATCGGGCTCAAGAAAAAGGTGTCTTTCCCTGGGCCCCCCCAACTCGCGAAGACAGTGTTGGGGACGAACATAGAACATCCAAGAACCAGCGAAGCGGAAGATCGCCCGCCTGCTACGCTCGGTACTCCTCAGATCGTCCACCTGGGTGGGCCCTTGACCTCTGCGCGGCACAACTCCGTGGCCAAGGCGTGAGCTGGAGGGACCAGGTCGGACCAGGTGATGATGTGGAGAAGATCTTAGATGCAAGACATGGGGAGAATGGGGTGACATGCACCTCAGGTTTGAGGCAGGCAAGTTGTTGGGGTTGGAAAGATCCACCGAGATCCAATTGGTAGGATAAAACAGACTGAGTAAGAAGAAGCTCTGCTGTAATATCATCGATGTTCCATTTGGGATGGGACTGCTCCTGTGCATTTTCCATGTGCGGCCCCCCGGCCCTTCAAAAAGGGCATTTCTCAGCATGTTGCTTATAATGTCATTTCATTCGCAACTCTTGAATCATGTGGACTACTGTGTCAACCTGGCTCGCAGCATTTTGCCCAGCAAAAGTGATTTGGCTCTTAAAGGATGTCTGGCCGCCAGGAATCACAGCTTGTCTGCCTAGGGTGGTCATTGAGGCGGCAATCTAATTATTTGGACATCATTGAGAAGCCATCGGTGCCTGAGGATGAGTGGGCGATCAAGTGCTACACCAGCAATGGTTACTACGGTGAACTCAACTATGCCCTTCGAGCGGACGACAGCTTTTTGTTGCGGAAGCATGCCCGCTTGATCAACTGCCTGCGCCATTGTGTGCGCTCACACAATGAGCGCTACAGAGTCTACCGGGGAGTCCAGCTTCCAAGTTCCGAACATGAGTTCTACCAAGTGGGCAAGCTCTTCCTATGGCCCGGATTTACGTCTGCAAGTCGTTCTGAGGTCACGGCCATGGCCTTTGGGAGCTGGGGCGGTGGCCAGGGCAATACAGTTCTCTTCAAGATTGAGCTGGGGCTGAGCTCTGGCTGTACGTACTCACGGGACATCTCACATATGTCGAACTATCCCAGCGAGCAGGAAGTCCTGCTCTATTGTTACTCGGGCTTCAAGGTGACCTCGCGGAAATGGATAGGCACCCGACTTGACATCGGACTTGTGCCCCATGACACGCTTCGAGCGTTGAGAGTTGAGAAGCACTCCTGGAGCCGTGGAGTTGCTTTCTTTCAGAGTCTGAAACCACTTCAAGCGTTCCGAGTCGGTCCAAGTAGGTCGATCTAGGGCGACATAGCCCTTGTCCGAGTAGCGCAGGGGAGACATCGCATCGTGCACAGTGCCGCTTTGGATGTCTTCCCGGAGTGTACAGTTCACCCGCGACGCGAGGGGGGGTATTTTGCGACTGCCGTGTATATTGAGATGCGAGGTTCGATACTACCATGTAGTAGTCATTTTTGTGGCAGTCCGGCCATTTGAGGGACAGTGTCCAAGACCTTCCCCCATCTGAGGGTGTCCAAAAGATCCGGGCTATGACAGGGGATGAGGGCTATGAGGGGCATCGGAGATCCTGATCGCACCGATCCAAGGACCTGATGTAAGTACCGATAGGTTTGGAACAGCTCAGCAAGCATCTTGAAGCCCCCATGGTCCAAGGAGGAGCGGTTTTTCTTTCGTTTGGATCTCCCCCCCCCAAGTCCGACCCTTGGAACGAGGCTGCAGGACAGTTCAGAGAGAGGGGGCCGCCTGGCTCTGGGGGAGGGGAGGGGGGTCACGAACCGGGGTCACGTTCGTTCGAGTCGAGTTCTCCCCGTCGAGCTCGGCGCAGGCGGGCGCTCCGCTCTACGTGCGCGTGGTGGCGACCTGAGCTGGATCGATGATCGATGTGGAGAAAGACGGGGAGACGGGGAGATGAGTGAAGTAGGTGACTGAAGTGTCTCTCAGTGCGGAAGTTCGACAGAGCTTGGACGCAAAATTATGGATTTTCTCCAACAAATATCCAAAGATCAGCAAGATTCAGCAAGTGAGTTCCACGATCCAAGTCCTCAGTTTCACCGGACAGCTCCACGTTTTCACCGACTATAGCCGACCTCAGATCTGTGGAGCTCCCTCGCCAGGCGACGGCTCCAGTGCGCATGGACCAGGCGAGCGCGACGCGGCGAGCAGTCGGCACGCGCCGTCGGCACGGTGCAGTCGGCACGTGCGTGGTGAACGAAGGGGACCTCCCTGCGCCCCCGGCTGGGTGGACTGGGGTCTGTGGACTGGTTCTGTTTTGGGTTGAACCGCTTGCACATACACATCCCTGACACACAAACCCATGTTTCCTTCCTCTATTGCTTTTGTGAGGATCATGTGGTGACTCATCATTTGCCATGCTGCTTAGCAGCTCTTTCAGAAGCTCTGGCGGAAGTCGGCGCCTCATGCGAGTGATGCGAGTCATATGTACCTGGATGCACCAGGAGAAAACCTCGGTTGCACCGTGCCTCACACGATGAGTTTGCAGTAATTCCATGTAGTTCTTTTTCGATGTCATCCAACGATGAGTTTCACTGCTTGGTAGTCGCTGCAGTCTTCTTCCACATCCAAGGCTTCCTTAGAACCCAAATCTCCCAGTTCCTTCTGGAAGAGGCCTGGAAGAACGACGATTTGATCTCTTCATGCCTCCCCCATTGAGCTGTTCACATGCTTATACCTGCTGTCAGCTTGGTGTTTGCCTTTGTTTTGAAGGCTTTCAGTTGCTGCATCTGGTAGCATCGATAGGCGCAGTCGGCGTTCGCCGCCCCTTTTGTGAACACAGTGAATGGACTGTCAAAGTACAGGCAGAATTGAATATTACTGAGAGAACTAAGTGAACATCTGGAACTATGTGAGTCCTTGTTGATATCAACATGATGTATGATCTATATATGTATTTTTTTGCCAGCCAGCCTGTGATGTTGGAATCATTGGTGATTCTGACATGTTGAGATTTGTCGTTGCCTGCCAGGTGCTTGAGTGGCAGTTTTAGCGAGCCTGTGGTGGCCAGAAGCCCACTTCATGGCGTGTGTGGATACTGAATGCTATTGAAGCTGCAGACCAGTGGAGGATTCTTATACTGGCCAACGCTGTCCCCACAACAGTCCACAATTCTGGAACCCAAGCAAGTCGGATGCCAACAGCAACCTTCGAATGAAACCATAAAAATTTGCTGGACATGTATACATCACCTGAGGCGCAAACGGTGTCCCGGCTACTGACGCCTAGTGGCCGACTGCTGATCTCAAGGTGGAATGGGTTTAGACTTCAATGAGAACATGGGCGTGGACGTTTGTGCATGCTTCCTTGGGATTGGGATGATCTGGGATGTGGAAGGGAGGCCCTGGCAGGTTGAGTTAGTACATTTTATGATATGACGATTTGATTTAGCAATTGGTGTAGAATTTCAATTGGAATGAATGCCGATTTGATAAAATTTATATCGCAAAGTGCACGTGAATGCTCTGTTGGGGATCGGCCAGTTCGATGCCAATCCGTGACCTGGACTTCTTCTCGAAGCCCTACACCGATTTTTGGCAAGCGACAGACTCAGGATGAGACATGACACTTTTGGTGAGACGAACGAAGCTGATGATGCCAGTATATGCCAAGTTTCTCCATCTATAAATCATGCCAGTTTGGAAGTTGAACATGGTGTGATACGGCGAGGATCGTTGCATGTGTTCAACAGTGTTTTTCTTTTTCTTTTAAATCCGACGTGTGGGTGTTGAGATGATCATACACTTCACGGCCTCCTTGGACAGTCTAAGATGGAACCCGTGGAGACCAAAAACACATGCCCTAAGAATCCGTACTGGCCCTCCATGGCAAGGGTCCGGGCCCTGAAAACCCTCTTTGTTGCTTCGGGCCCGATTCTTAAGGTGGAAGAGTCTTTTCCAGGAACCAGTGGTTGTGGGGTAGATTTGCCTGGTTTGCTGCTTCTTTGCTGATGCTTCATGGGTCTATTGGAGGCACCAGTACAGCCGCCCATGGCCAATCGAGGAGCTTCAGGTCATACACGGGAATTGATTGGATGCCATGCATGGCTTGCTCGGAATCTGCACTTCTTGACTCCTGCAGTTCAATTTAGAGACACACAAGAAGCCATCGACCATAAGCGCAACGATAGGCAAACAACCTGATACTTGGCAAAGGAAGAACGCTGCAGAACCTGTTTGTGCCATCCACTTCCGAATCCTTTTCAAACCGTGGCTCCTGGCCTTACTACTAGGAGCTTTCGGAGCTGTCGATCCACCGAAACCGATGTCCGCTGTCGACCTCGACCTCGACCGCTCGCCCCGATGTCCCGCCGTCGCCTCCGGAGGCATCGATGGAGTGATCAGCACCGCAGCAGGCATTTGCGCAGCGAGCAAGGTCGACCGGTCCGTCACGGTCTTGGGCGCGGGCCATCCGGTCGGGTCGAAGTCGGGAACGGCGAAACCAGGACCCTCCTGGACCGGGGTGCCCTGTCTGGAAGCCGAACGGCCGGTAGTGTGGGGTAGTCCAGCCAGGACACCCAGGTCCAGGAAGGTCCTGGAAGGTACTGTTGGTTCCCCAAGAATCTGGGCCGCAACAAGGTGTCGAGTTTTGAGGTGTTTTGAGGGCGACCCCTGCGAAGGTGTCGAGTCCGACCCCTGCCATGGAGGGCACGAGCTCGGATTCTTAAGGTTGTGGACAATGAGTTCCACTGTGCCTATCGGTGCCTATTATTTTGGAGCGATTCTGGTATTCTTCTGCAGAACAAAGCATGAACTTTGAAGCCAATTCGGTGACCATCTGGCGGTGACCTAACATAGCTGGTGTCTTCTTCAAGACCCTCCGTCTTGGGAGAACGCACAGGTGCCCTGCACCCTGGTCATTGGAGATGCCTCTTGGCAGATGGGGCGATTCGTTTTTCAGCTTCAAAGTGCAACGCTTCACCTGGTGAAGCAGGCGATTTTTGTTGGAGACTTCTTTAGACCGAGTCAACTTCAGGAGTTCTTCTGAGGGTGTCGCTCTCCCCGGGTCGTTCGTGTCATCTCAAACGTGAGCCAACGCTCCGCCGGTGGCGCTGAACGAACGCCGGTGGCGCACAACTCGGCTCTTTCGCGGCGCGACGGCGTGGGGCCACGTGGTCGGCCGGGCATTGAGGTGGCCACGCTACAAGATCTGAATGCCTTTCAGCTTTTGGGGACTGAGGCCAGGAGATGAGTGCCAGTCTTTTTGGGGGCTTCTCTGGCGGAGAGGACACGAGAGCTGCAAGCTGATGACAACTTGTAAGCCATAGACTACAATGGTTTCAGACTAGATGTAGATGGCACAACCCCCAAGGTGTCTTTTTGATGGGGGTCGTCATATAAACCATCTTTTGGGGATTGTGCCATCTACTCTCAATCCACTATTCTCATACGTCTTCCAAGATCATATTGATCAATGCTGTCTTTGTGCGACAGGCTCCTGCCCTGACCGTGGTCCTCATCAACAATGGTGGAGGTGGGACTGTGAAAGATGTCGATAACAAAATACAAATGTTACTGATTGTTACTGTAACAGCATATAAGTAGCACAGGATTTCTCCCATCAACAGGAGCATCTCAAGGGAAAAACCATGAACAACCGAAAAACGTTTTTGTGAATTCGTCGCCCTCATCAAGAATGAGTCACCAACAACATCACCCCTTAGCTCTAGGAACCGTTCCTTTCCGTCGATTCCCCACGGGAACCGACCTCCATCGACCGCGACGGCGGTACGCGGAAGTCGGAGAGGAGAGGAAGAAGGCGCATCCGACGGGTCGACAGAATGACCGGTCGACGGAACGACAAGACAGGTGGCATTTTCTCCTTCCTGCCCATCAGCAAGCACAAGGACGCAAGGATCCTGGCTTGGGCCAGAGCGGGTGGAAGAACACGGAGGGAGGAGCGTCCGGCAGTCCGAACAAAAAGCCCGCCACTTAAGGACTTAAGGATGATCTGTCAAGAGTTCTCCTCTCAGATGTCGCCTGGTCGCTGGGCCCTGCCGGGCCCGTTCGCCGTTCGCAGTTCCCTTAAGTGAACTTCTCGCGGGCGGGCGGCGGTTCTCGGTTGCGACGATGGAGGACTGACCGACCCGCTACGGACCTTCTCCCGTTGAAGGTGATGTCGCCCTTCTTCAATGAGCCACATGAAGTGGACTTTCAGTCCGTGTGGGGGGCCTCAACGGCAGGGACATGTTCTGTTTTGGTGGACGAAGGAAGGCAGGGAGAAGAGGCGAAGCTTGGGAGCATGCGCCAAACTTGCAGTATCGGAGGCAGTTCTCTTGCTGGGATTTGTTGGAAACCCTTTTACCTATGTCCGACCCTGGAATACTCCGAAGACACATCTCGGAGGTGACCTACCATCTGGGATACAGAGTCAAGAGATCATCCAGAGCTGCTTTGCTTTAATTATTCTTGATACATCACAGTTGCTCCACCATGAGGCGGCATCTTCGCATTTTCAGAGGAGTTTCAGATGCTCGGGTGATGGAATCCAGTTTGACCACATGTTGAAACTTTGGAACAGACTTTGGTCCACTCAAAACCCTACTGAGATCTCTAAATCCAACTCTGCGCACCAGGTGCAATGCCTTCAATGTACCTCACGTGCTGTGTACGAGTCTCCAGGACTTCGAGGCTAGGCATGTCAAGGCGAAACACGTGATGGCCTCCAACCTAGTAGATCCTAGTAGCAAAAGGAACCAAATAGCAATGCCTCCAACCTAATAGCGATGGCCTCCAACCTAATAGATTTTCTGAAGCGTCTTGTCGCGTGTGACTTCGGTTGAATCAGGGCAGCTCAGCTTGGAGAGTCTGCCAGCTGAAGCGTTTGCCGGTCGATGGATGAACATGATTGTCCCGAGTTCCCCAGCTGTTCTCAATGGTCAATAGCCCTAATTGATCCCACTTAGATGATAGCTTCCAGTTGGCATGCTTCACCAGTGCCGACCACCACGCATTATATTATGTCATTTCATCCCCAAAATATCGCCTTGCACCGATTCAATTTCATCATGATCCCAGTCAGCCCCTGTGGTCATCATGCCAGTCTTCCACAGGCGGCCTACGTCACCTCCCAGAGCCAGGGTGGAGGCCTCGTCGGTTTCGTCGGTTGCCCATCGGCAGCAGTGAGCCATTCCCGCCAGAGCAGCTTTCGTCCTGCCTTTTGAGATTTGGCATTGTCAAGCCTTTGAGTTGCGATTTGCAATTGAGTATATGTATATATACCAGGACCCCCTAAGGGGTGTCTATTGATAGCCCCTTAGGGGTTAAGGGGTGTCCATTAACCACCCCTTGTGGGTCCTAGTATATATATATATATACGTAAAAGTTTTTTTGGTTGTCTTTTTAGATGGACTCCCTGTGTGGGTTCATATTCAGATTCCTTGTCGCGGTTCTTAGAAGTGTTGCGATCAAGCTTGCAGAGGACCAATCTTGATCTTCATGGTGATGGGCCGTACTTGATGGTGAGAATTAGCCAATATTGCGGTTTATCATTGTACGTATTATTTGATACATATGGAGTTCGATGACACAGGATATCCTTTGCATACTGAAGAGGCTTGCGGCGGCACCTTTGCTGTGAGGCAGTGTCATCGAGGTACAACCAGCACTGGACTTTGAGGACACAGCAAGGGTTTTGTTCGGGTCAAACAGGCTGCAAAACATGCTGTTTGTACATGAAATAGCCAGACAAAATGGGTGCCGAAGGATTCATACCTTGCACTCTGGTCTCTCATGACATTTTCTTTTGTTCTGCACAAAGCTGGAGTGTTTCTGCCTTGACAAGGAGAATGTTGCCCTGCACAAGTTGATCGGAAAGGCCTGCTGATACAAATCATATCATGGTGAAGGTGCTCCAAGATGTGTCCTTCACTTTTGCAAGAGAAGTGTTTTTGGCAGGGTCAGGGTCAGGCGGCAAGTTCTGGGGCAACCCACATGATCAGAGCTTCGAGCTCTCACTGACCAGATGAAGAGGGCATCTCAACATCTCAATGTATCTTCAATGAACCCATTTTCTTGTAGAGCGTTCTTGTCATCAAACACGGTAGGTTTCATATTAGGTTTCATATTCAATCTCTTCAATATTCAATTTGCTTGGGCAGGAGCCGACATACTAAACAGTCTCAGCGTCTTCCTTTATAATCGAAGTACAGCTACCAAGCCTGGCCTTCGCTTCGTCGCGACGCGGTCGCGCGGTCGCGGTCGCGGGCAAGGAGGTGGCCCTCACCGTGCGCAAGGAGCTGGTCTCGCAGGTGGGGACCTGTGTGAGGGAGGTCGTGCGCCGAGAGGTCGGGAGTTCCACGGGTTTGGAGCTGCTAAGCGCCGCAGAGCACCCGGACGGGTCTCCAGACTTGAAGCCGAAGACGGAGGCCCCTTTCACCCTCCAAGCACACACACATGGTCAAAAATGCGTGTCCCGTGCGGCTTGTTCACCATTGTTCACCTATTTAACAAGCGGCAGCTTTTCCTCCGGTTTCCTCTGCGAGGTGAGGCTTTCCTGGCGCTTCAGCGCTGGTGAGGTGGGACGTCAAACGTCGGACGCGAGCCGCGAAGCCATGGTTGTTGGCAGAGCAGGTACGTCAGTACGTCGGTACGTTCTAGAACAAACATGAACTTACTATATCATCCCCAGTTGGACTCTTGTGTTTAGAAGGGAAGAATAGAGAGTCAACTTCTTGCGTCCGGGAGTCTCTCTCTCTCTCTCTCTGGATTCCTTTCCCAAAGAGTGTACGGAAGACACAAGGAATCTGAGATGCATAGGTCAAATGTTTGTCTACTCTTCCTCCATGTCAGATGAGTACAAAAAACGGAATTGGCTTTCAGAGGATCCAACCCGCTTCCTCAGCACGTCTTCTTTAATCCGCGCGGTCTCCTCCCCTTCCGTCTTGGCGCCACCCCCACCGCCAGGATCCGGCGCGTCCGGTGCTGGTTCTGCTGCACGGCTGGATGGGAGAGAAGGTGCGCCGGAGGGAACACCGCGGGGCTCGGTCCGGACCGTCCGGACCAAGAGAACGCGGGGTCCGGAGACACCAATAGGTGCAAGTAGATGAGCCCAGCGAACGGTATTCAAAGTGATTTTCGTGAGCCATCCACTTGTTGGGAAAACGATGTCCGGGACCGTGACGTACTACACCACACTGCTCGTTTGCTTTTTTGACACTTTGATGACCGGTAAATGGACTCAGGCGTGATGCAATCTTTACGCGTATCCACACCACAAGTATCCACAAGTCGCACCAAGAGAACTAAATGTCAAGAATTTGCCAAGCATGCAAGTGCTGACATGCCAACTATCTTCAAACATGTTGCCATCATCCACATGTGATTTCTCAAGATTGAAACTTGAGCAAGAAGACCAAGATATTGTGCAAACATGTGCAAACACAAACATAGCAAATTTGATATCGAAGCTAGTAAAACAAGTTGCAATGGGAAGTGAACCGAAGCAAGACAACTTACATTACAACAACTACTCGTTTGTTGGAACCTTGTTTCAGTTTCGTTCTGTGGCCTACATGGGGTTTGCATCAACTACGCATTCTTTTGGTTTGCTGGGTGAACTAGCTCAACGGCCGAACTGTGCGTTCGTGAAGGCTGTCCTTCATAGGTTTGTCAAAATTGAACTAGAGCAGCTAGATGGCAGCACAGGCATGTCTTGATAGACCATGAAGACGGTCTATGTAAGACTTGTTTGGATGGTCAGAACTAAACACCCCAATTCTAGCGCTTTGGAGATAGAAACAATGATGAACAACATTCACCACCACCTGACAAACATTGGGACATGTCATTTTTCAAGTCTCGTTCCCATCACTGGAGTATCTATTTGTGAGATTTGTTGGGAATGACAGTTCTGGATCCAGATATTAGCAGAGCACCCTGAACACCCACCCCTGTGCGATCTGCGCTGCGCCGCTGCGCTGCGCCATCTGCGCGGCTCCTGCCTGCGGGTTCCGGCACCACGCAGGCCGATTGGTGGCCCGTGAGCCACATCCTGGAGGCGAACGCTGCCCGAGGTCAAAAAGTGGAAAACAGGTGACTCTTCCCTCAGTGCCATGCCAGCGCAACACGCGAAGGCCCCCAAGCAAGCTCATCTTCCATTTTTGGTTGGCATATATGTTGACATGGATCGAGATCATGCACACGTCCCACACAGATATCCAAAAGCACCTCGATATCCTCTATCTGTTCCGTTTGGAAGAGTCCTTTTGGCCGGTTGCCAAGACCCACCTAGAGAAGATGGACGCTTCCTTCATGACCGCACACCAGATATTGTATTGTTTTCGTGTCCCTTCGCCAAAAATATGGGGAGCTGCATGCCATTCGGTCCCTGGTTTTCTTTGATTTCTTCAAAGGCAAGCTGGGCCCACAGTGTCTAGGTCTGTGGTTTTCTCCATTTCCTGGTGCCTTTTCCATCCTGGCCAGGAGCAACATCTGGGCTTCTTGGCCATCGACTTACCTGGTCATGGGGAAACCCAGGTGAGACTTGCCGGATGTCTTTTTGCCAGAAAAAAAAGAGCGGATGTCAACAAGCCGTGGAATGAAGAAGAGATCTAGACTTACCAGCAGTCACATGTCGGGGTGCCGAACGAACGGAGGAAGTCGGAGTGCCCCTGTCACATCCACTCACTGGATGGGACTAAAAACCATCCCGACATGTGACTGCTGGTAGGTGTTTCTGAACCCAACGGTTCTCAACGCTTCGCCCAGTGGATGCCAGGTTCCTGATGGATCCTGGGAGGCCCAGACCGTAAGGGGGTTCAATCGAAAACGTCCCCATGGCGATGTCCAGTCTTAAGCCTGGAATGCTTAGTAGTTCCCAACAGGCACAATGAGAATATCAGTGGATTTCTAATTGCATATTCACTTGCCCTCGACGGGCTGAGAGCATTTTTTTCATCCGTCAGAGAGGACTCGCCAGAGAATTCCAACACGCAAGCGGTCACAGGAAGCAGCCTTCTACAACATGCCAATGATCGTTGAGGCCTCTGAATCTTTGTGCCGCTTTGTTTGAGTGTCTCCAGCGGATTGTAGAGATCCCAAAATAGATAGACATAATTCCAATACATTTTGAATGCATGTTACTTTTCTATTTACTTCGGGATTGCTATATGTGGTGTTGAGTATGCTTCCCCCCTCACTGGACTGTTCTCTTCATGTCCAGGTCTGCTTTAATTGGACGGGTCACCGGTGGTGACACCGGTAGCACGACAAGGGGTCAGAAACTCCCACGATGGCGTCTGGATTCTGGAAGACCCTGAGCCATCAGATATCAGATCATTGACCTTCGTCGCCTTCAACCCGGTCCAGGAAGTAGGGGACTAACAGAAACACTTCACTGGAGACGACTACGGACTTCAAGTCTGCTCGAAAAGGTTTTGAAACCTGGGGGAGTGCCCATGGCTTCGTTTCATGGTGTCGTTTCATTACCCTGGAAGTTGAAGGCCTTTAAACAATGGTGGACCTGGTGTTGCAGCATCAAATCCTTAGTAAGACAATGGTGCTTCGGTAAACACCTATTAAGCAAATGGCGGTCGGAAGCCGAAACGAGCGAGCTTCGTCACACCTTGTTCGCGCCGTCGGTTCGGTCCAGGGGAGGGTCACGGGGACGCATCCGAAATCGGTTGCGCAACATGCGATTTAGAAGGTTACAGAAGGTTGGTCTTGGATGGTCTTGGACCGTAGACCTTCTAA